CTGCTTACAGTTCATGGTCGGTAGGATGAATTTGACACAACAACCACATTTGAACATCAGACTTGGCATTGTTCGTACTTGTACTGCCCAACAAAAAATAAACAGCTTAGTAGTAGTAGTAGTTCTGGAAGAAGTCAGTGGCAGCAGATTCAAGAGTCAAGACAATGGATTTGTCCATTTTGCAACAAGTTACTCTTGAGCATGACATCAAAGATCAGTGAGTCCTTGCTAGCGATAACAATGTGCCACGATCTGAAAAGACACCAAACAGGCAAGTGAACAACTCATAACCAACTGTTTCCAGCTCAAAGTATACAATTTAACGAGCTATGCACTTAGAACTAACTAGTTTCAAAGGTTGTAAAATTGGGTTTGAGTTGTGAGCTTCAGCTATGCTAGAGAGCAACATAATACTTTGTAAAGAAAACCCGAAACAATACGATAGGATAATATTATATCAAGAAGGTTCTTTAAATATTTAGCAATATCCATTTTAGCGTAGTAGCCACTTCATGTTTTATCAATTACATCAACTATTCCATGAATCAACTGAGCCTGAGAAGTTAGCTTCAGCTATGCCAGATAATTAACAGAAACCTTTGTAGCAGCTAACAGATACCAGATGCATGGTCATGGTTATTTCACAAGTCGAATCTCAATAATAAAATTTAGGTTCTTATTTCCAATGCCATATATTCAGTATTCTCTAGCATACACAAAACAGCCTTTGTCAATCCATATAACAAATGTTGCAGTTATATTATGACTAATAAGATATATAGAAGCTGTAAAGAAAATGCATACAGCAGATAAGCAAAGTCTTAGTACAATACCAGGAGTGTAGAAGCTCATGTAGGGTAAGATGCTAAAGTAGACCTCAGGCTCTGCAACCTTCTTCACCCTCCTTGACTTGAGCTCGATCGTGAACAAGCCAACACCTGTGCTCACGAATATGGCACCCATACCCTCCCCAGAGCCAACCACAAATGCTTCATCACTGAGATTGGCAACAGGTATCATTTTGTCCAGCTTGATCACCCTGCATTGTACCCATTCTGCTGCCCCTTCTGAATTCACCTTCCGTGACCACACATAAAGGCTGGAATCCTCAATGCAGGCAAAACCCAGTGAACCGTTCTCCATCTCCATGAGGGCAATGCCATACACGTCTGGCGACGGCGAGTCAATTTCAGATAAGCAGTGCATGCCCCAGTTGTACTTGATGATGGCATTATCCTCCCGAAGTGTGAAGTAGATTTCATCTCCGACAAGGGCAACTCGCCTAGGCATGACATAAGGTACGCGGTAGAATTCACCTCTACTCTGTGCATCTCGCCATCGCTGTTCCCAGGAATCAAGACCATCATCAAGAACTACCGGGGTGCTCCACGCCCCGGTCTCCGATGAGTACATGCTCGCCTTAACGAGATCTTTGTACTCATCACGGGTGGATCAGAAACAAAAAATTAGGGAGGCTCAATTACACAGTTTTTTCAACCTCCAGCCATTTAGGGACTTTTAGTTCATTCATAGTGAAAAAATCGAAGGGGGTGCTCCGGGGTATCCATGAGTTTTGTGGGTGTAGGTGTTGGATCCGCCCCGTCATCGGTGGCCACAAAGACCACTCGGAAGGGACCGCCGTGGCAGTCGAGGTGGTCACAGCCGCTCACGGCACAGAACACAGCGCTGGAGTAGATCAGCCACGGGATGCCGGGCTCTGGCACGCGGTGCTGTTCGCCGGTGACGGGGTCCCAGACAATGAGATACCAATCATCGTCCGAAGCGTGGAGGAGGGCACGGCCATGGCGGCAATCGAGGGCCCGGCGAAAGGTGGGATCGGGCGAGAGGGGCACTGCGGTGGTGCGGGCGAGGTGGGGGGCGGGGGCTCCCTGTAGAACTTGGCGGCGTAAAGGAGGCCGAGCAGGGGAGGGGATCGGTGGAAGGCGCGGTAGCGGCGGAGGAAGCCGGGGTCGCAGATGGCGCGGAGCCATTCCTTGCAGACTAGGGCAGCGCGGAAGAGTTGCTCGGGCTCGTCCGGCGGGAGGCGGAGGAGGATCTCGGAGAGGAGCTCCGGCGCGAGCGAGGCGGTGAGGTCGTCCATGACCTCCGGCGTCGGTGGCGGCAGCGCCATGGTGCGCCCGTGGTCGGCGGAGCGGGGGCAGGCGAGCCGCGCGACACGAGAGGGTTTGGGTGGGGATTGGGAAAGAGAGAGTGAGAGACCAAGAATGGGCAAGGGGGGACCGACCGCACGCCCGCACCCGCGCTGCCTTCTACCCGGTCCGGTTCGACCCTATCCTATACTACAAATTTGGGTTTGCGAACCTTCGATTTTGAGTAAACAAGGCAATATTCGTTTCTGTTGAATTTTGATCTGCTTTAAGATCTGCATTGGATGGTGGGCCTGCATCATGGACTGTAACGTGATACTCCCTTCATCCACAAAAGTTACACATATTATTTTTGACACCAAGACGTAATCTTTCACATTCCGCCAAAGAAGAAATTAGAAAAAAACTATAGGCTGACGCCAAAGATTCCATCCAAAAAAAACCATATTTTGACTGTGCTTCAACTATATCAACTGTACTTGAACTGTTGGATAATCATAGTCGACGATAACATCACAGTTCCCACCGCTATTCCAAAACCGTACATGAAACCTTAGTTTCATACGGCTCCTCTATGATCAGAAAAAAGGAAAGTACTTTTTCATTTCATTATTATCTTCTTGGGCGTAGTTAGAATTATCTAAGATAAAATCGATTTCAACGTCCTAAATTAGACCAAAGGAATTCTGTCTGCTAGAATAATAAAAAACGCTTCGGAATTCATCTCATCCTTTATAATATAATGGTATTTTTTTCTTTGTTCAGCAATAACTTAATCTTGAAATGAAACACTCGTTATAACAATTAATAAACGAAGAAATTAAATCATCTTAGATGTTACAAAATCAAGTAGTAAATGTAAACATGCAACCAATGAGTATTTCGAGGACTCCTTAGGATCTAATAAAAACATTTAATTTATCTCTTCATTTAAGTCCTGAATGTATAAAGACTACAAATAGGAACAACTTATTTGGAAAAACTCAAATATGAAATAGGTGTAACTGTTGTGGATGGAGGGAGTAGTTTTATTCTCAAAATAAGTAGTCTGCAAAACAATGTGAAGATGATATTTATCATGGAATTTGACGATGTGTTTGGCACGACAAGAAACATTTTAGCATAGCAACCCATGAGATGGCCCACTACCTAGTACCACAGTGAGAAAGGTGTAAGACTGTCTCCAACAGAGAAGGCAAAACGCAAAATAGCTCGTGCACAGTTTTTTTTGCATGTCAGAAACAGCCTCCAACAGACGACGCAAACAGAGGAGGCATTTTGCGTATGAGGAGAGAGAGAACGCAAAATTGCGTCGTCTCTCTCCAAGACGCAATCGTCTGCACGGCGTGGTGGTGGGCCTGAAGATTCGCGTAGGGGCGCGGTGGCCAGCGGACGATGACATCGAGGCGAGCCCGCGGCCGGCGTTTCCAGGCATGTCCGCGACGGGGCGAGGAGGGCCGATGACGGATCCTCGTCGGGGGGCGGCGGCGCGGCGCGGTGAGCCTGCGGGCGGTGCTTGCACGGCGGATCCATGTCGGCGAGGCGTCCACGTCGACGAGGCGAGGAGGATCCGCGTCGGTGCGAGGCGCGGCGGCGAGGCGAGGCGGATCTACGTCGGTGCGAGGCGCGGCGGATGCGCGTCGACGTGCGTCAGGGCGAGGCGGCTTGTCGGGCACGGCGGGTGCGAGGAGGAAGACGGAGGATTTGCGTTCGTTTGTTGGAGTTGGCTTTGTTTTGGGTGCCCACCTTTTCCTTTCAACGCGAGGCATACCAGGTATAGGTCTCCTATTTTGCATCGTATTGTTGGAGACAGTCTAATAGTCGGTGAGGCACCTTGCTACTAGTTCCATTGAGAAAGAAGACGTGATAGGCGCTAGCCGATGAGGCAACAAAATGTTTTGTACGGTGTCAACGATATCAAGTGGATTGTGTTAAGACGACCACTTAATCTAAAGCGGGGTGTGGCAATATAGCCATAGCTTCTCGCAGTGTTAGTGGTAGGGATTCTTTTTTTTTTTTTACTTGATGTAGGGTGACTAGGAGCACCTAATTTGTGGGCATCGTTTTTATTTTGTTGCACGTACAAATCAAAATGATGTTTTATAATGATTGATTAAAAATTGAGTGGATATAAGTTGATAGGCAAAAAAAAAATATGTTAGGGTTTAGCTAGTTCCGTGATCAGTGTCGGATGGTTAACTGGTTATATCGTTTGTAAATATTACGGTTCCTTAAAACTCCTCTCTATTTTCTGTTGTTCCTTTGTTACAATGTTTTGGTATATGTTCGCAAATTCTACACATGCATCATTATGTTAATTGTCATCAATGAATTATATAGTAAGTTGCTCATTAATATTGCAGCAAAACAAAGGACAATTATACACTTATTAGACCCTCTTTTATATTAATATATTAGCATATAGGCTAGGCCATCTAACAAACCTCCAATAAGAGGTTACTCAACTGTCTATTTTTTTCAGCCAACAGGTAAATACTATTATCCGGTTATTTGGAAAAAAATAAAAGATAAGTAATAAGGTCTTTAAAAAACAGAAATAAGTTACGAAAAGAAAAGACTGGGAACACCAGCTCAATATAAATGTTCTCCAATTCCATCAGAGGTTGTAAACGATGAGACGCTCATCCTTTAACCCTACCACGATTCAAAGAAACAAACATAGACAAATTGGAGCAGCAAAACTAGTCACATCCTCATATCCTCTGGCAGTACATAACCGCTCCAACTTCTTCACCAGCTTCTCGTGGACAATGTCTAGACAGGCGCGGTCTTTTTGTTTTATAAGCACTTTCCAACTCATATGAAAAACTATCAAGACAATTTCTGTCTATTTAGAACTATATATATAAATTTCAAATTTCAATACTCTCATGAAACAACATTATACAATCGCTAAGTTATAAGATAGAATATGGTGCCAAACAATCTAGTATCAATACGATTGACAAGGAGTGAAAAAGAAAAACTATGCAGATGGTCCAGTTAGCCACGTAACTATACTGTAGTTGTACAAAAGATGAAGATGTTCTATCAGGACATATTTAGCTATGGGAGGGGATGATTTGTCACTCGTAGTCAGTCACTCTCACCACAACTTCATCTTCATATCAGCAGCAGGCCAGTTAGACAACATCTTCAGTTCATCTGTTCTTATTGCATTTACACATTTGGACAAACGAACAAATCCAATTCAGTATGTACAAGTTCTTCAGCAAGCGGACCAACCTTCCGAGGCAAAGCATGTTTGCAGAGCATAGCATAGTACATCCTGTAACCTTGATGGTTTTTCATATGCTGTATGAGAACGATGAGGTCAGGGAGTAAGGGATCCGCGTCACCGTGGCAGGCTGCTGCTGGAGCTTGTGGATGTCCTTCACGATGTCGAACACGGCTTCTGGCTGCGCTAGCTTCAGCGCGTTGAGGGAGTATCTCCGGAGCTCGTTTGTGTGTGTGGTGAACCATCTGGCAACCTGTCTCGCGGCTTCCCTCGGGTCCTTGGAGAACACACCGGCACCATTGTCCACGACGTAAGGCACATTCCCGACTTCCTGTGCGACGACAAGAGGGACGATATTTGTTTAGCCTCAATATCTTGGCCATCCCTTCTTTCAAAAAATATTTTGGCCCACTCACGTGTATATATAACCATGGCCCATATACATGCATTCCGGTCCATCTAAACAAGGGCTCCATTTGATTTTTTTTTTCTGAGAGCGATGTAATTGCCAGACTCCACTTAACTAAAACAGGGACTGGATGACTCTTTTTTTCCAAAATAAAGTGGAGAGCGCTACGGCTCGGACGTCCGATATCTCACCAAATATTGGACGCCCAGCCGCAGCGAGCGTATGTGTGTGTATATTGCTGCACTTCATTCTTCACTCCTCAATCATGAGGAATCTTCCCATCTAACGTCCTATGTCCCAAAGAAAATTGGTTGGTCAAATGTTCTAGTTGACCAATGAGTGAAACATCAAATTATATATGGTGAAACAAAAAATCAGCAACTGAAACATTTAAAAATTTTATGAAACATGAAAAAGATACATGTTGAAACATATCGCTATCACATATAAAACAACTAGTGTTAACGGATTGAAACATATGTTTTTCTTTCATCAAAATATAATCATATGATATCTTGTTGTAAAGATTTAATTACAACGAATATACCGATGTGTTCGGATCATAGATTGGATAATTAGTTTACGAGAAAAGTTGTTTTGAAGCTCGCTAAAATGCATGCATGTATGTATGAGGTGGAGAGAGGAGAGAGAGTAGTGAGATGTAGTTCCACGAAATTTGTGAAACATGCTGAAGAGACATATTGAAACATATTACTATTGCGTATGAAACAAAGAGTGTTAATGGATTGAAACATATGATTATTTTTAATCAGAATATAATCATGTGACATCTTGTTGTAAAGATTTAATTACAACGAATACAACGGTGTGATCAGATTGTAGATTGGATAAGTAATTTAAGAGAAAAATTGTTTTGAATATCGTTAAAGGTATATGTGTATAGGCTTGATAGGATGTGTGTCAGACTCAGTCCATCCGATTTTTCTCCTTCAGTCGGACGTCCGAGGAGAAGCATTTTCGAAATAAAGTACGCACGCATGTTGTCATATTGGGCCTGTTCGGTCGGCATTACTGTGAATGCAGTTGCAGTTGCTGCAACAACAGTGTACACACGTTTTGACTACTTTAAATTTGACTATGTTTATGCACAAATATAGTAATATTTATAATACCAAATTAGTTTTATTAAATTAATAATTGAAATATATTTTCATAATAAATTTGTGTTGAGTATAGTCTTAAAATCAGAAAAACAATTTTGTTACTCTAACGAATTCAGTATAGTTGCATCCGCACACACCTGTCCAGGTATGAAGTCGTTGAGAATAATTGGGAGTCCTCTTATCAGGGCCTCTGCAATTGTACCAGGACCAGCCTGCAAACAGGACACAAACATTCCTAAGTAAAAACAGTAAAAAAAAAAAAACCATCAACTCCTCCATCAGTCCAAGAACCAACCTTTGTGATGATGCAATCGCAAGCGCCCATCCACTTCTCCATCTGCTTTTCGAACCCTCTAATCTGAGATCAAAACAAAAAGAGAAAAGAAAATGTAAAAATGTCAGCCAGTGGTCACTACCAAACGCAGTAAGAGCAGAAATGCGCATCTAGCACGGCATCATCCTCCCCAGATTCGGCATATACATGGTACCTTGACAGGGACATTCCACCGTGACGACTGCAGCGTGGACCGCAGCACCTGGTTCCTGCCACAGATGACAACGATCTGCCCGACAGGCCGGCGTCTCCGGCGATCGTAGAGCTCGTCGCTGAGTGCTCTCGCCGTCTCCTCCACCGGACCCATCCCCTCGCCGCCGCCCATCAGTAGCACTGCAGGCAGGTCGGGATCCATGTCCAGCTCTTTCCTCAGCTCATCCTGTCACCCCAAACCCCGAGCAGAGTTCAGTTCAGCTCTGCGTCAGTGCAATGCAGCAATGTGCGGCTCATGAAGATTATCTGAAAATGCGCGGCAACCGGATCGACCGACCTTGTCGAGCACGGCGCGGCAGAAGGACGGCCTGATCGGCAACCCGTACACACGGATTTGGGACGGCTCGAGCCCCCGGAGCAGTGCCCTCTTGGCCACCTCCGCCGACGGGCAGTAGCACCTCGTCACGCCATGGTGGAACCTGCACAAATAAGCTCTATCGATCAATCTGAGATCGCGCCGCGCCGTGGCGAGGCCGGCGAGAGTGCGTGGCTCCGGTGAACTGAACTGGTTACCATGTCGGGTGGCAGGTGTTGAGGTCGGTGATGACGGTGACGAATGGCACCTTGGGGTGGAGGCTCTGCCACTTGAGCACCCACAGCGGGATGTGCTGCATCAGCGGGTGCACGCTGATGATAATGTCGGGGTTGTACCTCATGATCCCGGCCACCACCTCGCTGAAATCAACCATGTCAGTTTTCGCGAATCGATCGGATGAACAGAGACGGAAACAGAACGTGATTTGGATTGGACGATCAAGTTGTGATGGCTGCGTGCGTGCGTACTTGGCGTAGAAATAGGCCAGCGCGGCGAGGTACATGCCGTGCACCCAGCGCGGCGAAGTGCCGTGGAACGCCACCTTCCAGAGCCGGACATGGCGGATCATGAACTTGTACGACCGCTCCATGTCGTTCAGTGGCCACCCGCCGTACTCCTTCCCCAAATCTCTCACGAACACCTGCGCGAAAGCAATTCAGTTGTGATTGGAGTTCAATTTTTTTTCGCGAGAAATCAAGAGATTCATCAAACCAGTTTACAAACAATTCATGTGATTGTGAGTTCAAATGTTTTGGCGAGCAAATTGAATTTGGGGGCGGCTGTAATTTCGGAGCGGGGAGGAGAGGACCGAGGCTTGGAGCGCAAGGAACAGCGGGCATTGAGCGGACGGACCGACCGACCTGGTAGGCGTCGCCGAACTCGAGGCGGAAGGCGTCGCGGAGGGCCTCGGCGGATGCGCGGTGGCCGCCGCCGGTGTCGCTCATGAGGATGAGCACGTTCTTCGCCGCCGCCGTCTTCCTCCCGCACGGGAGGGGGACGCCGCCCTCGGCTCCATCCTCCGAGAGCGCGGCGGTGAGGCCGCCCCCGGCGGCGCCGTCGTAGAAGGCGCAGCGGAGGGGCTGGTAGAGCTGGCGGCCTCCGGCGCCGAGCACGCCACCCAGCACGGCGTCGCGGATGGAGCGGCGGGGGGTGGCGACCGAGATCACCATGGCGGCGGCGGCGGGGGCGGCGGCTTCTCCTCCTCGTCTCGTGGATCGAGCCTACGAAAGGTTTGCCGGCGAAGAGAGAGAGACAGAGAGAGAAGGCAGGGAGGCGAGAAGGTGGCGAGGAAGGGAAGGGCGGATACGCCATTTATCAGTGCTCTCATATGGATTACTTCAAATTGCCCCTTATCCTTTACATATTTCTTGTTCCAGGCCATTTCAAGTTTTGTTCCAAAATATTCCTCTGGCTAGATTATTAATAAGTATATAGTCGAGAAAATTTTCATGATAACATTTACTCATCTCTACTCTATCCAAATTTCAAATTCTTAACTAGTCGTCATTCGTAGTTACAGAGAAATATAGGCATTTATGCGACAAAGCTGGGTTACACGGTGCCCAGGCAAAGTACAAGCGGGCAAGGCAACTCGGGCAGGCAGTGCAAAACCACGAAAAAGCCCCAGAGCGTCCGGTCCACGTGGCGAAATGCTAGTGGCCGAACGAATTGCTTTTGGGGGGTTGGGCACGCGCGGCTAGCGGGCGAAAGGGGATGATTCCGTCGGAGATGCTGGGATTATGCTTGGAGGATTGCTTCGTTAGCCTCATGTCTGTTGCTCAATGAGTCGATCGAGTAGTCTTTTACCACACGCTTAAAAAGGATAAGAGACAGAAACTGGTGACAAATTTCTGATGTTACTAAACCTATTTGCACTTGCATGTGCTTTACATTTGTGGGAATCAGAATTTAAACCTTGATGGGGTGGAGTCATACACGTTTAACGTCTTTACCACCACAGAATCAGTGCTTCTTTGTCTTTGGCTTATTTTATTTGACTAGTACATGATAATTATGAGTATATGAGTTAAAGGCCCTGTTTAGATCCTCCAAAATGGTAAAAGTTTTGCCATTTTGAAGCACTTTTTGCTATTTTGGATCTAAACACTAGTAACAAAACTTAGCAATTTGGCATTTGGCATTTGCTAGTCCATAGTAGCAAATTGTGCCAAAAAGTGCTTTGGGACCACTCCCTCTCTCTTTCTCTCTCTCACTTTAGTGCTAGAATGGTAAAAGTTTAGGATGCATCTAAACACCAACTAATACTTTTGCAATACCAAAACTTTTGCCACCAAAACTTTTGCCATTTACCATTTGCTATTCCAAATGGACCTAAACAGAGCCTAAGTATTATGTGGAAATAATATAGTAATTCTAAAGAACCCGTTTAACAATAATTGATGAAACCATTTGAATTTTCAATACTTCAAAATCTATAGAATAGCTATTACATGTTACAACATGCTCCCTTACTCCACAAATAAAAGAACTTAAGTTTTTTTATTTTCAAAATTAGGATGGAACTATGATGCACTCCCTCCATTTCATTATAAGTCACTTCTCTTTTTTTTCTAATCAAACTTGTTAAGTTTGACCAATTTTATAGAAAAATTTAGCAACATCTAAATTATCTAATTAATTTTATTAAATTTAATATTAAATATATTTTGATAATATGTATGTTTTGTGTTGAAAATACTATTATATTTTTATATAATCTTGATCAAAATTAAAGAAATTTGACTAAGAAAAAAGTCAGACAACTTATAATATGAAGCGAAGGGAGTACCCATTAAATTAGGGGTGTGTGGGAGGATAATATTGGCTAAATATTACATGAGGATAATGAAAGGTGGTTGGGTGATAAAGTAATACTCTAAGTACTTATATTTGTGAACAGATGGAGTGGTAAATATCAGTAACAAGGTTAGTACAACACTACACAAATTTCAGATTAACAAATAAGTTTTAGACTAACACACTCTTGTAGTCTTGTGTTCCTTCCTCCTGCATCTAGAACTCCTAGACCCTAAACCCTCATCATATAATCAAATAAAAATGACATTTTTCATATTTCTATGTTTACAATTGAAGTTGGCTATTATACTTTTTATGTAACTGTATATGCATGACTTTAGCTACCAGTATTTTAGTTATGATATTTATAATTAGATGGATATGTGCATTCACTTTTTTTTAATAATGGAATATAACATCCCTGTCTTTGCTCAAGAGAGTTACAACCAATTATTACAGAGAATGTGCATTCACTTATTATAATACAAGTTTTCTCAATATTTACGAATTAGAACATAAAGAAAATATATTCTCATTCGTTGCAGCCCAAGTGATGAGGACATCCTACAATTGATACAAACATACCTAGTGCATAACAAAGACCAATGCATGACTTGAGCTTGAACACAACTAAAATTGTTCCCTGTTATTCAAACAAATTCTTTTTCGAATGATGATTTTATTATGCTTAGGAACTTGGGACACGAACCATGTGGGTGAAGGAACAGCCACGACAATGAACAAGTGGAGGCCGGCATGAGCAAAGGAAGGATTAGACCAAATGATTGTACTACAAGTTCGGATAGCACGTTTGGACCTCCAAGCAATGGTAACTTTAATTGGACATAGCTCTTTACTCTGGAGGGTGTTGAGGTCCATGAGTACTTGTTGAAAATGTCTTGATGTCTTCTTTGTAGATGGATCAAGAAACACTACTACAAAAATAATTTTTTTACGAGAACCTCTTTATCTGCCACCGTAACTGGTTGCATCTGCAAAAATCATCCTCTATTTTTACGTGAGGCTACTTAAGAAGACTGCACGGAAAAATCGATTTTCGCAGACGGGCCTTTTAAGTAGACCGTACACGAAAATGAGCCTATTTTCGTAGACGGGCCTCATAAATGGACCACGCACAAAAATATCACTATCCTTTACAGATTTTTTTATCCCATCATTTCTCTCTTTTCCCTCTCACTCACGTCAAAATTTTCACCTCCTCTCTCTCACTTTCCCTTTTATTTTCACTCTTCTCTCTCTCTTGCTCTCCTCTCCTCTCCTCTCCTCTTCTCCGAGCGCGCGGCTAGCCCTACCGCATGCGAAAACCCCTTTCGGGTTGTCCGCAAAAATCTCTTTTATAATAGTGAAACACCAATAAATTCCATCAATGTTGCCTAGAAACTACAGAAGAGATGTTCAAGACTCTAACCCGCGAGTTGGGCCTCTTGTATCTAGAAGAGCCCATCAAGGGAGTGTCTTAGCTAGGGTTTCCCATACCTCCTACTATTCCCCCCATATATAAGATAGCAGCAACCACCAAGAACACTTCCTTACCTTTTATTTAGATGCAAGTTTCGCTTCAGCTACTTCCTTTTACTCACGTGTATTGGCTAGACCACCCGGATGCTTGATTTAGAACCCCAACTTTGTGTGTTTGTTTTATCATCTGGCAAGTGATGTAAATCGTTTCCTTGTCAATTGGTTCTTGATGCCTATTCTTTTATTGCTTGCAGGTTCAAGGTTGTCGGGGCCCACCCTGTCTTGATAGGTAAGGAAACTCCGGCGATCGAATTCTATACTATTACATTTAGCATTCCACCTTCTATTTCCAGCCAGATAGCTGCGATTTTTAGCAACAACTATTTGGATTTTCAACAGTGCTGTCATGGAATGTAGAAAGGCTACCCAACAGCCCTCTCAAGCACCTTACTGCTGACAATACTATCACAATTGACCCATATATGCCAACAACCTTGTCACAGTTAGTACCATGATGCCATTTCCACTTCAATGGATGATAGGCTTGTTGGGAATGTACCATGACAACTAGACACTAGCAATCTGTCGGAGATATGGGCCCGGGGGTATGTGGAGTAGAGGGGAATTACTTTCCCTCCGGCCACGTGACTCCGCAGGCTGGCCCCACTCGCGTGCCACGCGAGTCGTAGAAGCGCGCGGGGGGGGGGGGGGGAGGGGGGGGGGCCCTCGAGATATGACGTCACCCTCTCGGGCTCTGCCGCAGCTTCGCCCCGAGGCCCTCACCCGACTGCCGTGTGGCAGAGGGAGAGAGCAAGAGGGGAGCGCAGGCTGAGCAAGCCATAAATGTGCGACGCCCCAACTGTCCCTCACCGCATTTAATGCGGTCAGGGCAGATGTGCGGCGTGCCTAGCTAACCCCTGTCCATCGGATGTGACCGGTCTGTGACCAGCCCGTCTCCGTCACATCCGATGGATAAGGCAAACATGTCCCCACGTCGCCCTTTGTCCCCGGCGGAGTGGGGGTGAGTATGACCCATCACATCCGGGCGCCACTCGAGGAAGGACTGTTGCATGTCACCGTTCATTTATGAGGGAATGATAGGGCTGTCCCCCGTGTCAGGCGGGGGACGGCACCGGGTTCCGCGCAAGAATCGGTTATTGCTTAGCTTCCGGAAGAAGGCACAGTTGGAAGCCAAAAAAGGTGGAGTGGGGTTTTTCCTCCCCCCCCCCCCCCGCGATGGAGGGGAGGTAGAGGCGGCATATGTGGTATCCCCTTAAGCTATAAAAGGAGGACCCTGCCCACCGAAAAAAGGGGGAGGCCCAGAAAAGCCTGAACTCCAGAAGAGAGGAAGCGAGCGCGCTCTCTGGAGTAAAGAAACCCTTGTAAAACTTGTCCATAATCCCAAACACAGGAGTAGGGTGTTACACTCTATAGCGGCCCGAACCTGTATAATCCGACGGTGTGCATTCACTCCTAATAGTCATAGGGACGAGCAAGCGACTAACGAGAGACGAGCCTCCGCCCCCGGCCGAACTCATGAAAAGGGGGTCTCACGACTCCCTGCTATTGAGGGTCTTCCCTCAACACAATCAATGTATGATAGTGCTGTTGCAGATATATTTTGTATATATTTTTTAACATATAAGTTAAAAGGCATGAATTTGCCTTAATTTTCCAAGAGCCAAATATATTCCCTTTATTATTCCTCTAACATATTACTTGTGTGAATTTGACACTCACCATTCACGATGTTGCTTTAAAACTTTTGAAAAAGATACACAAAACTTAATTAGAGTATTTATTATATTCCTCATAATACATTTTGTTACGATAAAAGGCTTTTATTTTCTTAAAACATGTACTAAAAAAGATATCATGATCAAAATATTGAAATGTGAGGCGAGAAAAACAAGAAGAAATGTGAGGGGGGAGGAAAAAAGAGAGAAAAATAGGCATAATTAGGAAGAATAGGAAATACATGAGAAAATGGAAAAAAAAGAAGAAAATAGGAAAAAAATATGTGAAATTTTAAAAAAAATATAGGGGGAAATAGGGAAACAGATGGGTCGGTTGGGCAATGCTCATGCTTGGGTCGTACCTTGTCGGAATATCGGCAACCATGCCGTGGTGTGCCAAGAATTTATATAAGATACTTTGTGTATGTGTGAACTTTTTTGCTTGTAAATATATAAGAAGAAAGTAATTAGTTTTTGCAATAATTTCAAAATCTGAATTTAGTAGTTACAAAGTTATATATAGAAGCAACTGCGTATTCGTACCGTTACCTTTTATGTTATTAGCTTAATAGTTCTTAGATTTGAAATTCATAAATACAAAGTTTTACTCCTTTTCAAAATTAATAAGTTCCATCCTTTTCATCAAAACTAATAATGAGTAAGTCCTATATGGGAACAAATTTATAAATAGAATGTTGTATTTGTTGTGGAGTGATAACTATTTTGATTTTATTCTTCAAATTTCGAAAATAATATATACAATCCTGTCAAAAAAATGTTATATACAACGTTGTATTTTTCTTGTAGTCTAAATATCAGTTTTCGTGATAAAGAACTAAAATTTGGAATTGATATACATATATAAATATATATGTAAAATTGTAGTCAGCCAAAAAACTAGTATTATCTAAATCTCTAAAAATCTAGTATTTCCATCCACTTATTACAATTTTTTTTGAATATTTTCTAGAAAATTTGAACCAGCTTTGGTCTAAAGGAAATAATGCCTTCGAAAAATACATCTAAAAATCTAGTATTTCCATCCACTTATTACAAATTTTTTTTTGAATATTTTCTAGAAAATTTGAACCAACTTTGGTCTAAAGGATTTTTTTTTGAATATTTTCTAGAAAATTTGAACCAGCTTTGGTCTAAAGGAAATAATGCCTTCGAAAAATACTTCAAAAAAATTGTGGCAGGAATCGAACAAGGGACCTTGTGTTTCTCATCAGGCATGCATGCCAATTTTATTCTATGTGCGCGCGAAAATAATTCACTTCCCTCGGTTTTTCCGCAGGAAATTTTCATTTCCCCCTAATCCCGCTACACGATGGCGATTCTCCTATAACCCCGCGAACTAGATCTCGCTTCTCTCTCCAAAGAAGTGCTCGCTCCCAAGATTTAGGATCCTAACTGTCGTTTCCAAATTAGTTTACTTGAGCTACCTATTTCGTCGGACTTTCCAGACAGCCATCTCCAAAAAAAAATCACCACGCAGTTCTTTCGATTCTACTTGGCGACGACATCCATGTGTTGAACCATGTTCATCTTCAACAACGGTGATTCAAGGGAGAGCCGGTGTCATATTGCCTGATGCAAGCATCTTGTAGACCACAATCACAGGTGCATTTTCTTTTGACTAGAAGCTGTTCGATCTATTTCCCCTTCCGTAACTTGAGCGTACACGCATCTGTGAGTTGGTGTGGGGAACGGGGCGGGGGTTGAAGAGCAGTGCTGCAATGATGCCGCCGCCGGTGGTAGTGAGGTGTGGTGAATGGAGGCTGCGGTCGGCTGGGCACGTGGTTGTCGTAGGGGTGACCGGTGGCCGGTAGAAAGGCGCCGGGCCAAGGCGTGATTGCACGGGGTGGAGATGGCCAGCCGGCTAGGAAGCTGGTGCCTGCATCTAGAAAGCTAGAGACTAGAGTCCTAGAGCTAAGGTTGTGGTTAGTGTTTCTTGATTACTGAAAATGGATAGATGTAGGAGGAGAAAAGCATTGGAGTTCTACAACCGACAGGTGCATGTTTCTCTGTACTAGTTCTATTCTCTGCTTTTGTAGTAGGGAGGCACTGGATAGATATCTTTGTTTATCTGGAATCTTGTTGGATGTTGTGGCAATGCACCTGCTATGGATTGCTTCACATGGATCTGCAGCTTTACATTCTGTAATTGGAACTCAGTAGATACATTGCTCTTTTACATCAGTCTAGATTCAGGATCACTAAATTGTATTATCAGATTATATCTAACAGCTAATTGAATTTATTGTGTCATGATGTTTCTTGGATGGTAAAAATATTAATATTGTTTCACAGTTGGACCAAATGTTATATGGGTAAGGGCACCTTTGGATGCACAGGTTATGTACGAATGCACTGGACGCAAGGCACATGGGAAGTTTGCAATGGCGGATGGTGCAATTGATAGCTCAGAAGTGCAATTATCCACAAATGCTCATCCTTCTCACACTTACACAGTTAGACCTAGCCAAATAGAGGTTGAACTGCGTCAAGAGCTTGCTAATTTCAAGCATCAGCGACAAGAGGATTGCCAATCAATACAAAATGCTCTATCTGAGTTCAATAATCAGACAAAGGAGGTTATTCCTCTTTTCATGATGCTATATTACTGTTCTTTGTTTTTACTGCAATGTGAACGTGTCTAACTATTGCCTAATGAATTCTTATTAGTATATGATTAATGGATCTGCAAGTACACCTCCACCTCAGATCAATTTGGCTGCATTATTTCCTAGCCATTCATCTCCAACTACTCAGCAGGTAAGAATATTCTGAAAAAAGTTTTCTACTACAGATCTGTACTACTTTGGAGCATTCATCCATCTTTGTTTAAAATATATATGTTTGACTAATGGCATCATATTTTCTTTTATTGTAGAATACTACAAATAATAGCTCCAGAAATGTGTTCAACCAAATAGATGGAAATAATAGTGGAAACTGCAGCCAACAAGATGCTGGTTTGAGCAACAATGAACAGGTATTAACAAATCTACTCTTTTGGTAGTTCCTTTTTCAGAATGATTGATAAAGTAAAAAACTTGTAATCATTTGTCAATTAAATTGTGGAACTTAGTCAATAGCAATTTCTCTGTCTTCTCAAGTGTAGATCAATATGACCATGGAACATTATATTAGCCTAGCTATTTTTTTGTACCCACACTATACCAGATTATGCATATATGTTACATACATAATTAAAGATAATGTGTTGATTAGATATAGTATGACATATCATTCCACATATTTAACATTATTCTAGCTTTTTCACTTGGAGCTTTTATTGAGGGCCGGAATTGCTTGATGTGATGTATCCTAAAAAACTGAAGTCATCAATCTCTAGCAAAATTTACAATTTTCTTACTAGCTAGAAGTAACTTTTACCAAGCAGCTTTACTATGTTTTGTCAAAAACTAGTTTGATCATAATCTTGCGTAGTCATTGATGATCACCACATGAGAGTATAAACTAGCTTGTACAACTAAACCATTGTTTCATATGCTGAACCATATAGACATTAACCTATCCATAGAACACTTTCCAAGTAGACTATATCTGTTTCAAACATCTTTAGAAGATATTTTTGTACTGTTAGCTAAATTGGAGATTGGAGGGATACATTGTCACCTGATCCTTTTTCCTTTTAGGGTGACATGGGAAACAACTCTGAAAATGTGGTGTTACAACGCATGGATGGAAGCACATTTGGTTATTCTAGCCAACAAACTGCTCCTGCTACTAATCAAGGCAACAGTAAGCGAGGGAGAGATGGAGACTATGTTGATAGTGAAGATGATTATGCTGATGATGGAAACTATGATGATGCTGATGAAACTCCTGAACCGTTCGTTGCTGCAGTTATAGTTGATTATCCTTGTACAAAGTAGTGCTCACTGTTTTATGTTGGTTAGGAACTTCAATTTACTTATCCTTAGTGCAAGACAATTACTTTTATTTAGGAACGATGATTTATGTTTTTATTGTGAAACCTAATGTCAGTACAATTTCTGATTATATGTGATATTATTAATTAAGTCATGAGATCACTGGTTCAAGTTACCTTTGCAGTCTGTAATAGTATTGAAAAGTGTAGTGCTATGAAAATGGTTGGAAATGGCAGTGGTTCATTTATAATAAACATAATTCTAAAGTATATCCACTGATTTGATTTTTGACAGTGCTATCGTGGAAGCATCTGTATCCATGACATGCCTATTGTGGTTACTGCTATAATACCCTTGTTTTATTTTGCTACTTGTGACTGTGTTGTCACTATGTATGTTGAATTTTCTGACATTGCAGTCATAGAAGGGGGCTAGCTGGACACCATGTTGAGATAGCTTGACACCAAGTTACCCCAACAATGTGGGCAGTCAGTAAACAAGAACCACAACATGGCTGTCAACGATGAGACCATATCCCCGACATAGCAACCCCAACAGGAAATACCCAAGAGCTGGCTGTTGACAAATGGCATCCGCGACAGTTTCGTACCTTTCACCAACAGTTCTAGGCTGTTGCGGTTGCTATAGTATGGTGTTCATATCCTCCACATGAACCTATAATAGTTTCTACATATAAAACACCACATATTCAACACGCACTGCAACGCAACTAAGTTAGGCAAATCACCCGTTTTTACATCACATAGTTATCCAAATGGGAATATAAATGAGGATATTTTTAGCATATTACCATTTGCTATCCAGGGTGAGATCCAACACGGCATATTGTACCCCCAGGCTCCATTCGAATGAGATGCAGATATTAAACCTTCTCTTTCGCGTAAAACAAGACGAGTCATTAGCACATAATAAATTCAGTATTAACTAGTACAAACTTAAAATGGTTTAATTGATTTAAAGAAAGTTAAACCAGACCATTTAACAGTTTGGGAAATATGCTCATGAAAAATGATGAAGTAGCATATCCCAATTGAGCCAAATCAAAGATATAGTCTTAGTCGGCTGTAGGTATAACAGTAACCCTGAGTATCATTAGTTCATTAATCATTACAAGAATGCATTAGCATGGCAGCATGCTACCGTAACGTAGGTTAATTATGCGGAAATACTTAAAAGTTTGTAAGAGGATGTGCGTGATAGTGATATTATCCACTCATGGAATCATCTCGCTTGTGTACTTGACCAAAGAGGGAATATGCCACGGAAGGCAGTCGCTAGTCACAAATGTGTTGTTCAGGGCTACTGATTTGGAATTCCTTTTTTTGGAAGGCAGTTCCGTTTAAGTTTGATGGAGACGAGCATCAAGTAAAGGTAAATTGAGAAAACCATTAGTGTTTGATTAATTGAGTTTTATTTATTTTTAACTTGAAAAATAAATTTATTTGGTATTTTATAGCAACTTATATATTGAAAGTTTTCGTACGAAACATATCATTTAACATTTTAAAAAACGTGCTAACGATACCAAGGTCTAATATGCATCTTAATCATAAAACAACGGGCAGAAAATAGGATGTGCTCGTATCATTGGAGAGGATCTATTGAGCACAATCCGCAGCAACGAAAAAGATTCGGACAATGATATATATATTGCAGAATAAAATAGTAAACACTAGTGGCCAGGAAGGCAGGAAGGAGCCCATGCACCAAATTGTAAGTGGCAGAGGATAAAAATAATAATAATAATTGTACGAGGCATAATCCTCGGGGTGGTATACAGGCCTCAGATTTAGAAAATGTGCTCAACTTTTCATCCAAGTAGAATTGAATTCAGTGAACTTTTCCCCTGTCGCTGCTAGAACAGGCTGTGACAGGTACATGCTATGTTTTCCCTAGGATGGTGAAATACGGTTATTTGATGTCATGGTCCTTGTAAACCTTTAGTATGAGAATGCCATTTCATTGAATTCGTGGGTGGTATATACCTCCACATCCCTTAAAGAGGCAAAAAAAAAAAGAGAATTAATTAGCTAAACGGATGAAAAAAAGACTGGACGATTGGCAAGGTACAAGATGGAATTTTTGACATAACATTTGATCATTGGTCAAATTAAAAATACAAATATATATTGATCAGGTTTAAAGTACATTTGGTAAAAAAAAAATCAAAGCAATAATACATATCACGATAAATGACCAAATATCATGTCTAAAAGTTAATGTTGCCATACATTGAAAAAGGAGATAGTATATATATATACCTTAACTCATATTGTTACACACTAAGTACATATAGACCTTGCAACTGTTTTTTTCTCTCTCTAAAAATAAGTTTTGCAAAAGAAATCAAGTCAGCCCAACTGATTCTTGATTTGTTTTGTGAAACAACGCCACAACAATGATTCCACGTAAGCTCTATAGACTCAAAAGATGTACAGCAGAAAACCAAATAGGTGGCCGCATGCTTAAAGCTGATTGAGTACTCTTTAGCTCGTTCGAAAACACCCTCTGCTTTCTTGTCCCGCACTTGTATGTTCAGACACAGTGTTCGTTATGTGCACCGTTGGTAGGCAAGTGGATTTTCATAATTTTATGGAACATGCTTGAAATACAGCAGCTATACACGAAGCAAGTACACTTTCAGTAAAATAAAAAAAATCAACTCCTGAGAATAAATGTGGATAAGCATTCATCCTTAGAAGTTGAGTTTTCTAAAACAGAGAGTAGTATTCAGCAAGCATAGTAGTGAATTACTTAACCCTAGTTGGAAGCCCAATTTCAAGCCCAATAAGATGGTAAATTGTGGTACCTGAAACTTTTTAACCTTGCTCATTTGCCATGAGAAAGAAGTAAAAAATTGTAAATTTTACAAAACTATAGATATTTTAACAAAATTACTGTAAAACTACATATTTAATATATAGTATCGCAAAAATACATATTCAAAAATGATTTTATAGTTTCTTAGAAAAAGAAGGAATGGTTTTATCATAAAACTACATATATAATCTATGCTATCTTCAAAGTATAAATTTAGTGTTGTTTTTTTCCACAAAACTATAGATTTTAGATGCTCCCTTCACCTATTATCATGGTAAATTTCTAAAATGTGTAGTTTTGCGAGGAAATCAATGCTCTATCTGTAGTTTTATGGGAAAAAAAAGATGACACTAAATCCGTAGTTATGAAATATAATAGCTTAAATCTAGAGTTTTATGATAAATTTATTACTAGATCTATACTTTTATGATACTATGGTTTAAATATATTATTTTGTGATAGTTTTATAAAAGTATTTGTAATAAAACTATGTTGACTTTTGATATAAACATTATACATAGAGAATATTAATAGAAATCAAAAAAAATTTTAGTTATAAACTTCGTTTCAAAGAAAGCAGTGACATCCTGACAAAAAGGTGGGGAGCATTCGCGCAACGCCTGCAGGGCACCCACCCAGGTAGCTTTGATCCCTGCATCAGAAGGGGCCCCCTAATGGGCGATCGCTCGCTTGGAGATGGGGGCAGCGATCAATTCGCCCCCCCCCCTCCAGCCTCCCTCCCTCCACTTGGTTTTCTTTTTTGGCACCGCATTACTTTCCTATTTTAGTAAATTTATGCACCTAAAGTTTATACACCTCAAGTTTACACATCTAAAGTTTAGAGACCAAAAGTTTATAAGTCAAAAGTTTATATATCCGATTCAAATTTGAATTTGAATTCAAATATTTTTTTATATATAGTATTTCTATACATCTAAAGTTTATACACGTAAAGTTTATAGACCTAAATTTTATATATCCGATTCAAATTTGAATTTGAATTATATCCGATTCAAATTTGAATTTGAATTCAAATATTTTTCATATATAGTAATTCTATACATCTAAAGTTTACACACCTAAAGTTTATAGACCTAAAGTTTATAGACCCGATTCAAATTTAAATTATATCCGATTCAAATTTGAATTTGAATTCAAATATTTTCTATATATAGTATTTCTATACATCTAAAGTTTATACACCTAAAGTTTATAGACCCAAAGTTTATAAGTCAAAAGTTTACATACCCGATTCAAATTTGAATTTGAATTCAAGTTTTTTATACATAAATTTTTTTAACTTTTTGTTTTTTTAAAAATTTTTTGTGGTGTACTGTAATAGGAAGAGAAGAAGGGGAGGAGGAAGGGGGAGAAGAGAGAGAGGAGCACAGGGGGAGGCGAGGGGTGATCGCCAGGGCAGCGCGGGGGCGATCACCCGCGCGTTAGGATTTCCGCATCAGAAGACCATATCAATTCCATAATGCGAGCCATGCAGCCATTATATCCGACCATACTTAACATTCTCTAATCCACGTATCCACAGTTCGTTACCCTAGGTGTGAAAACGAAGTAGATAGATCAAAACAAATACGGATACCATTTGGAGCAAAATCTTCAATAGTCTACAGGGGCAAAGGGAGCTAGATAGAAGAGGGTGTGCCCAGAAACCCGGTCAAGCAAATTTATAGTTATAGTTTATTTATTTTCACCATATGTGCTCAATCCAAATTCAGGCGCTCAATCAACCTAAACTTGGTCTAAAGTAGACTAAGGCCCCTTTGAATCACATGAATAAAAAAATGGAGGAATAGGAAAAACATAGGATTCTCACAGGAATACAAGTGTAAAACAGAGAATTACAAAACACAGGAAAAACATAGGAATGACTGTTTGATTGAGCCGTAGGAAAAACACAGGATTTTGAGGAGAGATAAAGACTCAATGGATTCTTAATATGAGGTTCTACCTCATGCTAAATTTCCTCCAAAACTTACATGGGAAGAGGCATTCCATAGGACTTTCATAGGATCCATATGATTCATTCTTTTGATTCAAAGGGCTATATAGGAAAAATTCCTATAGGAATGAAATCCTTTAAAATTTCTATGAATTTCCTTTGAATCAAAGGGGGCCTAAGGGTGAGTTTGAGGAGGAGGAGATTGGGAAGATACACAAAACGAGGTGAGCCATTAGCGCATGATTAATTGAATATTAACTATTTTAAATTTTAAAAATGAATTAATATGATTTTTTAAAGCAACTTTTCCATAGAAATTTTTTGCAAAATACGCACCGTTTAGTAGTTTGAGAATCGTGCGCGCGGAAAACGAGGTGTTTACTCACCCTATCTCACACGAATGAACGCAGCCTAAGGCCCTGTTTGGTTGGAGAGATGTCCCTTAACTTTGGTCCCTTCCGAGCATAGGACTAAAGTTTTTAGTTAGGGATTAATTTTAGTCTCGGGACTAAATGATCCAAACAGGGCCTAAACGGTGTGTCCGGCACCCTTTTTCTCAACTCCTCTCATTCGTTTTCCACGCGCACGCTTTTCAAACTGCTAAACGGTGTATTTTTTTGCAAAAAATTTCTATAGAAAAGTTGCTTTAAAAATCAAATTAACCCATTTTTGAAAGAAATTAGCTAATACTTAATTAATCACACGCTAATAGATTGTTCCGTTTTCCGTGCGGGAGAGATTAGTTCCCATCCCTTCAAACTGAACACACCCTAAAGTAAGCGAATGTTACCCCTCTCTATTTCGTTCCGGCTTCATCCGTGATAGTCCATATACAAATACAAACACACAACAAATACAGATGATTTCATGACCTTTCTTCCCTACAGCCAGCCAACCCTTATCCAACCTTATTGTCCGGCACGGACAAGCAAACAGTACGAGGAACAGAAGCAGCATGGCGCACCAGCGATTCTATCGAGATATGCACAGCGGAGACATGTAAAAACATTAAGCACTATGTGTAGATTAATGTTAGCTAACAAACTTTCAGTGTGTACTACGGTTGAAATGTCAAATTTATGCATCCTAAAACCAGAAGCATCATCATGTTTTTAAATAGAATGACAAGTCTGAACTCTGAACTGAATGTCTGCATAAGAGTACGTACAAAGGCGCATATTATACCTACTCATATTTACCAGAAGACGGCTGTATGGAGTTCCTTTTTTCACAATAAGGCGATCTTTAATAAGCAACAAGAGAAACAAACTGTAAAAGGAAACACCTTTTTCAGAAAAATCATTACATTCAATTCACAATCCGATTTCGCAACACAGCACAAGCAAGTACACTAGAAGAGTGAAATCTTCAGTGGACAGGCAACAAGATATGGCTGTGTTCGGCATTGCCGGTTCCCATCCTCTCCCTAGCTTTTCACGCGCACGCTTTTCAAACTGCTAAACGGTTGTATTTTTTTGCAAAAAGTATTTTACGAAAGTTGCTGAAAATCATATTAATCCATTTCTAAAAAAAATTAGCAAATACTTAATTAATCACGTGCTAATGGACCGCTCCGTTTTCCGTGTGTACATCCTGTGTTGGGAAGACTGGCTTCCGAACGCAGCCTTAGGGCCCATATTATGTGGAGGGATGAATTGGGGTGCTCGATGGGAAGGCGAGGCTGTTGCAGCCTCGCCGCCCCGGAGCCTAGGTGAGGCCGAACATAGAAGAGGGGAGACTAGAGATATGTTTAACTTCTTTTTTGATTGATTCCAAATGACTGCGGTGAGGTCCTCTAACAAACATCCTAACAACCTTATCTAATAAAGCCTAACAAATCTCCTAACAACCTTATAGGGAGGCTGAGTTCTGCCCATAACACGTGATTAATTAAGTATTTATTAAGTATTTGCTATTTTTTTTTGCTAAAATGGATCAATATGATTTTTTAAGCAACTTTCGTATATAAACTTTTGCAAAAAACGCACCGTTTAGCAGTTTGAAAAGCATGCGCGCAGAAAACAGAGAGTAGGGAGTTGGGACTAGCTCTTGCAAACAGAGCCCGAGTCTTTGTGCTACCAAGATCTATATAAGTGTTAACTTCATGATAAAAAATGAAACATGAGATTCTAATCAGGTGGTACCGTGGTAGTACCTTCCTTGAATGTTTTTTTCTAAGTAAGAGAAGGGATTCAATTGAAATTTGCAACCAACATAATGAAATCACAAGACAGAGAAACATCTAAGCTATGTGGGTGGACACTAAGTTAGAGTACATAAGCAACTTGAAGAATTCATGTAGCCCATCACACATCAGAACCGTTTTGATAAATCAGGTGCATTGCTGAAGTGCAGTATCATCTTGATTAACTGCTCCTTTTCAAATCATATACATATATAGCTACAAATTTCAAGAATCAAGTTAAGAAGTGATGCAGCATGTCCTGCCAGCATAACATGTAATGCCAAGAGTGACGATTGCCGACCTCCACAAGAATGAACACAGAAAATGAGGATGAAGGGGATCCCCTAATAATTTACAGGGTTATACAGATTAAAATTGCAATTTGCCGCCACGAGGAAGTTATAAGCATAAGGAACTATACCAAAAGGAGGAGGATTGCGATAGTGGCATAGTGCCATCAAGAACACTGTTTTTTTGGGACATGAGAACCAGTTGCCCAAGTCAACAACCATAGACAAGTAGAAGAGAACGAAGTTGATGAAGTGATATATGCATAGCAATTAGGCCATGTACTTTTGCTTGATCAATCTGCCTAAGGGATTAGATTATGCAATATCTGATAATCTTGACATCACCTAAAAAGATCAGGAGGAGAGCAGAGTAGAATGTAATCCGCAATTGACATGCCATGTGCATTGCAGTTAGTTACATATGAAACCAAAGCAGGAAACATATGTAGTTTGTTGGTTAGGCATGTAACAAGTGTAGCAAAGATACCTAAATATTGCTAGCTGTAAGCTATCAGAAAAACGCAATTGAACATAACAGAATCTTATTTTCCTCACAATTGGAATAGCGAAATTGCAAGAGACAACGATATTTTGCTTAACACATTGTTATTGCCTCAGAAACAATAATCATGTCTTAAAATCACCAAGAGTACAGCAATGGAGTATCACCTAGTTAAGGAAGAAGCTTTCCAGCCATAAAGCAGGCAAACTTATTGCTCCGGGAATACTCATACGGCACGCCGGCCACGGTGAGCAACCGCTCGAGGACCTGCTTGGCCTGCTCGGGCTCCGCCGTTTCACACTCCAGCTCGTAGTTCGTACCAAAGTCGAAGCGCGTCTCGTCGAGCTCCACGACGAGCCCGAGGGTGTCGCCCTCCTCCAGCTGGTACACGGCGCGGGTGTTCCGGAACCCGCCGAGGCAGACGAACGGCGCGGCGTCCCCGCCGACGCCGTACTCTTCGGAGACGAGCCGAATGATCGGGGACTCGACCCCGCCGAGGCTTGCCGGGTCGTCGACGCAGGCGAGGGCGATGGCGGGGTCGAGAGGCTCCTCGACCTCCTCGACGCGGCTGACGCCCGCGTCGATGCGCGGGCGGCGCTTGAGCGCGAGGACGGCGCGGGAGGGGGCGCGGTCGTCGAGGCCGTAGAGGCGGACGCGGAGCGCGGCGGTGGCGGCGGCGAGGGGGCGCGCGGCGGCGTCGAAGAAGAGGTTGCGCTGGGCGTCGGTGCGGCGGAGGCGGGGCGCGAGGAAGGAGGAGAGGCGGCGGTGCGCGCCGGCGTCGGGGAGGCGGAGCTTGATCTCGACCTCCATCAAGGCGGGCGAAGGGGGGAGAGGAGAGGCTAGGGTTTGGGGTTGGGATTGGGATTGGTAGGGAGGCCGATGCGGTGGGACTTGGAGGGCGCGGCGCCAGGCGGCGGGTGGAGGAGGTGGAGGAGGGGGTTGGAGTTGGAGGGCGGCGGGGTCGTGGTCGGAGTGGATGAGGCGGTGGGGGTGCTGGCCGCTGCGGCGGCGGCGGCGCGGAGGTGGTCTTCGAGCTCGTCGCGGTCGGAGGAGCGGAGCTCGATGCGGGTGGGCTTGCGGCGCAGCATCGATGTGAAAGGAATGGGTTGGCCCGGTGCACTGTGGTGACCGGGTGGGCTCGGGATGAGATTATAATGGAGCTGGAAAATAAACTGCGATGAAAAAAATCTTAAAATTAAAAATTTAAATTTTAGCTTGTCGGTGACATGGGACCGGGGGTATCTTGACTAGAGGTTTGGGGCAGCCGCGGTCACCCACGTGGCCTGACCCCCTCGGGGGGGTCGGGCCCGAGGGTGACGTGGCCGCCCCTCCCTCTGTCTCCCCGAGGGGTCGGGCCGCTCCCGTTTCGGCCCCGAGGGCTGGGGCGCCCCGACCCCCTGTGGGTTTGGCGCCACGTGTGTGGGTGAGCACAGCGGCGCTAACCTAACCGCGTTTATTGCGGGTTGGACGAGCGCCCCACGCCGCATTTAAAAAAGCGTAGCACGCTCGTTCGGTCTGTGACAGGTCACAGTGTGTGACCGGTCACAGACCGGTCAGATCGCGGGTTAGGTGGCAACAGACGGCCTTTTACACGCCTCGCCCTGTCCCGTCGGAATGATGAGAGCCTCTAGGCACTCGTCCCTAGCCGGAGCCGGCGTGCTAACTCCTGGAGTTAGCACGTCAGTCCCGGCTAGATTCATACCAGGCTTCATCGCAACCATTACAAGGAAGTCATTTTATGAAGAAGGGCTGACGTGTGGCATGCTAAACTGACGCGTGGTAGACAAGAATGACCGGTTTGTGACTGGTCTGACGCCGGTCACGTCATCGGCAGACAGCCGTGCTCCCACGTTGCGCCTGCTTCCGGCGGAGTGGAGGTAGGTATGGCCCATCCCATCGGAGGGTCATTCGAACAGCAGCCATGGCAAATCTCCGCCCATTAATGAGGGAGTAACAGGGAGATCCCCGGTGTCAGGCGAGTGATGACGCTGGGCCTCACTCAAAGACAAGCTGTGATTTAGCTTCCAGGCGAAGGCGCAAGCCAGTTTTTTTTGGGAAGATAGGGTGAGTCCCCACCCAAAAGAAGAGTAGGTAGAAGTGGTGCGTGTGGTATCCCCTTGAGATATAAAAGGAGGACCTTGCCCACTTAGGAGGGGGACAACTCAGAGAACACCTGAGCTCGTAGAGGAGAGAAAGAGGAAGAGGGTCTCTAGAGTTTGAACTCTCTTGCTCTCCAGCTCTTTGTAACTCCTTCATACACAGATCCACCAGAACACAGGAGTAGGGTATTACGCTTCTCAGCGGCCCGAACCTGTCTACATCGCCCGTGTCTTGTGCATTTGCTCTCTCGCGAAACATTCCACAGATCGAGGGCTTAGAACCTCACCTAACGCCCCCGGCCGAACCGGCAAAGTGGGGCCCGCGCGGTCTCCCGATGAGGAGCCCCACGCTCCGTCATCTGGCGCGCCAGGTAGGGGGCGCGTGTGTCTTTCTAAGCCCTCGTCCTCTTTCGTGTGCGCCAAGCTACTCCCGCTCAGCCCAATGGCCGAACGGGCAGTGGCGCACAACCTCTCTCCGAGCGCTAGCGGTGACGATGGGGAGCAGAACCCGCGCTGTCGAGCTCGTACTCCACCGTCCCCCTCTCGCCGAAGTCTTGGGCGGGAGGAGGCGCTCGAGGGGGTCGAAAAATCCGCGACTTCGCCGCTCGCGGGCGATGGAGAAGGACGGCGGGACGGGGAGCGTCGCCTCCTCGTCTACGGCGACGGCAGCACGCCCCAGGGCATGCTCCAGGCTGCGGGCGCGCTCCTGCGTCACCCGCCCGTCGTCCCCGATCCAGAGACTCCAGCCCGACGTTGGCTGGATGACGTGGCCAACTTGGTCATGACGGCGCAGCAGCACCTAGGCACCGGCAGGCGGTCCTCCGCCACCAAGGCCTCTGGTGTTGCTACCACCGGCTCCGCGTCGTCGAGGCGGAGAGCGCGGCGAGCGGCGGCCGTTACCCGCTGTTCGTCCGCCATTCCCTCATCAACGCTTCTGACCCAAGAAGACGTGCGTGGGGGGCCGGATGCCCGCCTCAATGTCGAGCGCCGGCGCAATGGTCGTCGTGCTGCCCACGCAACAGAGGGCGCTTCCTCGTCCGGAGCGCCACTTTGGTCCGGGCACGGGGGCCAGCCCCCCATGTCCCCGGTTGGCGGTGCCGGCTGTTGTCACGCCCAGAAATTCCCGAATAGAATTCCAAGCAGAATGTGTATTAAAACCCCCGTCCAGGACCAGCCGGGGTACACAAACGACAATGTTGACATACAGATCCACGTCTTACAAACATCATAAAAGTCTTACAGAAATGCAGCGGAAAAACAAAAGAAACTGGAGCTAAGCCTTGACTTGAACGGCAGCGGGAACACCACTCCACAGGCATCCTCGACGGCACGGACGAAGCCTACTCCTCGGAGAACCCGCCATCGGACACATACTCGAGCTCTGAGGTTGGGGGGAAAAGTAGAGCAAGACTGAGTACTACCCACTGTACTCAGCAAGTCATACCGGAATAGAGGTATGATGCAGGGATTTAACAAGGGATAGCTAAGCAGGTTCATTTGCATAAATGCTGGCATTTATAAACAGGAATTTAATGCGAAAACAGTTGTAATAATTAAGCAGTATTAAACATCCGCTGTCCAACGCTAACCCACGTTGCGACAGGCCCAACCATCCACCTAAACTATCCAAGTTCAACAGGTTACACTAGGGTGAGACTAATCACGGTGAATCTGGTTGACCGCCCATAACCGCGGGCACGGCTATTCGAATAGTTTTACTCTGATCAGAGGTGTACAACTGTACCCACAAGACACAGCCCCACGACACGTTTCCGTGCGCCGACATGCCACCACGACATACCGGAAAGAGGCCGTGACAGGACCCTTCGCATAACCCCCTCTAGCCAAGCACACCACACCTCAGGTTTCACCCCCGTCCCCAGCGGGCGACGGGCAGTCCCCTCTCGTGCCTAGGTGAATCCGGAAGCGACAGAGGCCGTCGCAGGGCCCGCCCCGCTCCATCACGCCCACCCTTGCCTGGATGCGTCGACTAGAGGAAAGCTACACTACAAGCCCAGCCGTTGCCCACGCTGGCTTGTGGTAAGTACGATAAATTCTTCCAGGGCATCCCGCGAACCGGTCCTTAACTGCCATGGGTGCGACCAGCAAAACCATGCACCCACAGCCCACCATGTGGTTCATTTTATTTAACCAACACCAGAGCGGTGGTATTAAACCAACATTATCATATAAACCTATAGTCTAGGTTTTAAATGAGATCCCCAATGTGTGCTAGTTGAACTAAGCATGGCTAAGCAATTCCTAGTCCAAAGTCTAATCATGTTATAACCCAAGCTAACAAAGGAGCATGATATCCAAAAGCATGGCTGTAACAATAGGTATCCATCCCATAGTGATATTATAAAACAATGCAATATTTGAAAGAAAACAATAGAGCATTTGCAAAATGGGATCAACATGTTCAAGTGACAAGCATGACTTGCCTTGCTCTGCTGCTGGAGGTACCTCGGCGACTATCTCGAAGTACACCGGAGCGTCGGAGGGATCGGAATCTAGCGACATACAAAGCAAACATTGCAAACAGGCTATAAGACTACTGAAACAGAGAACAAAACCATTTTTAATGGATTCTACACATTTTTCTTGATTTACTGAGACTTGAATGGGATTAAACGGAGCTCGGATGAATTAGTTATGAATTTTAGAAGATTCACTGTGTTTATTACTATAAAAGAAATCCTTAAATAATTTATTGCGCAATATTAACCAGGGCTGACGTCAGCGAGGGGCGCGGCGCCGACAGGCGGGTCCCACCGGTCAGCGACCGGGAGAGAGAGAAAGGGGGCGGCGGCTCGCGGGCCCACCGGTCAGCGACCGGGAGAGAGAGAAAGGGGGCGGCGGCTCGCGGGCCCACCGGTCAGCGACCCGGGGAAAAGGATGGGGCGGCGGCGCCACGTGGCGACCGGACCGACGGCCCCGATCTACCCTTGGGTAGATCGGACGGCGGCGCGGGACCTCGCGGCCGGGGCGCGCGGGCGCGGCGCGAGACGGCGGCGACCATGGCGCCGGCGGCGCGGCGCTCACACGGCGGCGGCGCACATGCGGCAGCGGCGCAAAGCGACGACCGGCGGCGACCGTCCGGCGGCGGAGAGCGGCGGCTAGCGGCTCTAGGGGGAGAGGAAGGGGAAAAGAAGGGAGGGGATGCCTCACCGAGGGTGGCCGGCGCGGAGGAAGGCGATGGCGGACGGCGACGGCAAGCCACGGGAGGACGGCGTCGGCTAGCGGACGAGCTTCGGCGTGCCCTAAGGAAGGAGAAGAGAGGGATTAGAGAGAGAGAGATGGACCATGGCGATCGGGATCCATGGCCGAAGGCGGCGGTAGAGGTGGCGCTCACCCGTGCGCGTGGAGATGAGGGTTCCGGCGACGAACCTCGACGGAGGAGGGGTGGACGAGGTGGACCTCGGCCGCGCGAAGCTAACGGCGGCGACGGCGTGAGACGGCGGCGAGCCTAGCGGCGGCTAGCGGCGGCCGGAGTAGCAAAAGCGGCGGCGGCGGGTGGTTGCACGGCGCGGAGGCGTTGGGGAGCTCGGGAGAGGTCGGCGCAATGGGGAAAAAGCGAGAGGGGGTGCCGGCGATGCTTAAATAGGGGATGGGGGAACCGGACGTGGCCGGGAGCGGCGGGATTCGACGGCCGACGTGGGGGAGTGGGGAGGAGAGAGAGGCGGGATTCGGTTTTCGAATCCCGGCCATCTCGGGCGCGGGCGCGAGCGGGAGAGAGAGGGGAACGGGCGCGGGGAATGCGGCGCACGCGCGGGCGTGGTCGACGTGGCCCGGGGAAGGCGGAGACGTGGGCGCGGCGTCGGTTGCGGCGGTGGCGGCGCGAGCGGGATCGGCGGGAGGAGGGAGACGGGTCCGACAGGTGGGCCCCACCTGTCGGCGACCCCGAGAGGAGGGAGGCGGGCGGCCGGCTACTGGGCTGGGCCTCGGCCTGCGGCCGGCCCAGCAAGGAGGAGGGGGGGGAAGGAAAAGGGAAATGGGCCGACGGCCCATTTCGCAAAAAGGAGGAAAAAGAGGGGAAAAAGAAAAAG